GTGTAGTGAGACCACCAGGATCATTTGGTGGGGGGCAAGTCATTTTATTGGGGGCCTTGGAAGTGGGGAGAAGATGCCAAAAAGATGCTTCAGACATTTGAGATCCGACGTCCTTGGGAGGGCTGGATTTCTCCGGTTCTGCCGTTGTCAAAAGCCCAACAGGATTACTGCTCCGCCTGGAGACCTCGGGTGCCTTACTGTGTCATCCTGAGGTTGAGGGTCAAGTTGTGGCCCCGCATATACACGATAAACACAAGACCTGGCTTCCAGTAGGGGCCCCTTAGAGACTGCCGCTTTGCGGTTTCTAGGAAGCCGCCGTCGGGCGGGGCTTGGCCAAGGCCCCCCTCGCGGTTCCGGGAAGGGGCGAACTGGCTGGTGTGCGCGCGCCGCTTCTGCTGAGTCCCCGCCCCCGCACGCTGGCCCCGCCCTCGCGCGCCTGCGCACTGGTGTCCGTGGGCGTGGCGGCAGCATGGCGCTGGAGTCGATCCGCTATGAGCCGGGCTCCCTGCAGGTGCTCAACCAGCTGCTGCTGCCCCAGCAGAGCTGCTACGAGACGGTGGTCTCGGTTCAGCAAGCGTGGGAGGTCATCCGCGCCATGAAGGTGCGCGGTGCCCCCGCCATTGCACTCGTCGGGTGCCTCAGCCTCGCCGTGGAGCTGCGCTCGGGGGCCGGCGGTCCGGGCCCCGCAGCGCTCGCGGCCTTCGTGCGCGACCGGCTGAGCCTCCTCGTCACGGCGCGGCCGACCGCCGTCAACATGGCCCGCGCCGCGCGCGACCTGGGGGACGCTGCGGCCCGGGAAGCGGCGCGCGACGGCGCCACGGAGGAGGCGGTGCGGGAGAGGTAAGGGAGCCCAAGCCGCGCGCGGCCCCGGCAGGCTCCACCGCCTCTGGACGGGGAAACTGAGGCACGGTGTACTTGAGTCGCGGGCCCCAGGTTCGAGGGCTGGGAGACTACTCCGGGCGGATTGGCCCCAGAGTGCTGGTACTCGTGCTCTATCCTGCCTTCCTTAAGCCTGCCCCGCAGTGACACCGTGCTCCTCCGGTTACAGGCTCGCCCTAGCCCCAGGGCCTTTGCGACAGCCTAGGCTCCCTTTCATCACGTTGCTAGAGTCTGATTCTGCTTTTTCCCTTCACTTTATTATCAGCTCATCCCCAGCCTTCTTCACCCCAGTGTCCTGCCTCAGCCTCCTGAGCACCTGGGATTACAGGCGTACCATGCTGCCTGGTCATCAGGGCAGAAATTTCTGTCTTGTTTACTGCTATCCCCCTCCTGGTACCAGGCACACAGGAAGTGCTGGAAAAGTGTGTCACAGGAACACATAGAGATTCGTGATGTTGGCAGAAGCATCCCGGCCTCAGCCTCAGCAACACGAGGCTTCCAGCAAGAAAGCCCACAGAACAGTACCTGGCGGACAGGTGGGGCTGGCCCAGGCCCTGGGGTCCCAGGCTGGTGCTGAGAGCCCCTTGTCCTCGGCTCCAGAGTGATCCGCTACGCCGAGGACATGCTGGAGAAGGACCTCAGGGACAACCGTAGCATCGGGGACCTGGGAGCCCACCACCTCCTGGACCGGGCAGCCCCGCAGGGTGGCAAGGTGACCGTGCTGACCCACTGCAACACTGGCGCCCTGGCCACTGCTGGCTACGGCACAGCCCTAGGTGAGTAGGCATCTAGGGGGGATGAGGAGGGGCCACTCTGGGGTACAAGAGAAAGAAATTGGGTGGCTGGTATGTAGCTCAGTGGTGAAAGCATAAGCTTTGCTTAGTGTGCATGAGGCCCCAAGTTCAATCCCCAGCACCAGAAACAAGAGAGAACTAAGCCTGAACTACCGTACTCCCACAAAAACAATACATGACTGTATTAGTTCTTGTATAGATTCACTTAAGGGTCTGGCTTCAGGTATGGCAAGATCCAGGAGCAGACCAGTTTTCTCATATTTCATAAGGTCTGCTTTGCCCACCCCAAGCTACCTGAGCCATTGACTTAGAAGAGGAGCAAGATGTGGCCCCTAAGAGGACTGACAGGGAGGGGATGACCCCCCATCCCCAAGTAGGACCGAGGGAGCTATGACCAGGAGAGGGAAATAAGTAATGAAGTTCATGGTGGCAGACTTTCTCCAGGAAATCTTCCTGCCGTCCGGGGTTCTGCCTCATCCTTGGAAATTTAAGTACCTCGTACTGTGTGCACCAGACACAGTTGAACAAGCAGACAAGATCCCTGCCCTTGGGAAGGAGGAGGGACAGACACCCAACTGCAATGCATAAAGCCAGATGTGCATGCCTATAATGCTAGCATCCGGGAGGTCACTGAAGCAAGAAGATTGTAAGTTTGAGGACAGCTTGGATTATAGAGCAAGACCCTGTCTCAAAAGAAGTAAAAAAGAAAGGGTTTGGGATACAGCTCTGTATGAGGTCCTGGGTTTCATCCCCAGTAGCAATAATAATAATAACAACTACATAAGAGATGATAGCAGATGATAAATGGCCAAGTGCAGTCACACATGCCTGTAATCCCACCACTCTGGGAGGTTGAGGCAGGAATATCACAACTTTGAGCCCAACCTGGGCAATTTAGCAAGAACTTAGCTCAAACTGGGCATGGTGGTGCACACCTGTAATCCCACTTGGGAGGCTGAGTCAGGAGAATCACTGCAAGTTTGAGGCCTGTTTGGCCTACATAGTGAGTTCAAGCCCAGCCTGGAGTACTGTGTTACAAAATAAAAAAGGGCTGGGGATGCAGCTCAGTGAGAAGGCCCTGGGTTTAATACCCAGTACTGGGAAAAAAAAAAAAAAAAAAAAGAAGACGCTAAACAGTAAGTTCAGAGAGCTGGCACAGATAGAGGGGCAGACTGCTGTGCACCACTGAGGGCCTGGGGAAGGATTTACGGAGGTATCATCCAGTCAGATGTGGAGGGGATGCTGCAGGAACCTGTCCCCTCAGGCAGAGCCCAGCAGCTGACCCCACCCCTGCCCACCCGCCCACAGGTGTGATCCGCTCACTGCACCAGCTGGGCCGCCTAGAGCTTGCCTTCTGCACGGAGACCCGGCCCTACAACCAGGGTGCACGGCTGACAGCCTTTGAGCTGGTGTACGAGGGCATCCCCGCCACCCTCATCGCCGACAGCATGGCGGCTGCCGCCATGGCCCACAGGGGCGTGTCAGGTCAGTGGCAGGCGTGTGTGGAGCCCTGGGTGGCCAGGGCAGGGCTGTGTGGCCGCTCATCCAGTTTCTTGCCCCCAGCTGTCGTTGTGGGAGCCGATCGCGTAGTCGCCAACGGAGACACCGCCAACAAAGTGGGCACATACCAGCTGGCCATCGCTGCCAAGCACCACAGCATCCCCTTCTATGTGGCTGCCCCCAGCTCCTCGTGTGACCTCCGCCTGGAGACTGGCCAGGACATCATCATCGAGGAGCGGCCAGGCCATGAGCTCACCGATGTGAACGGAGTCAGGATTGCAGCACCTGGTGAGCTGTCAGGAGGACAGTAGGATGGGGTGGCGCACCCCCGTAACCCTAGCACTCAAGAGGCTGAGCCAGGAGGATTGCCAGGAGTTCAAGGCCAGCCTGGGCTATATAGCAAGACCCTGTCTCAAAAAGACAGAGACTTTATAGCCTTTGTGGGCAGTGACTGTCCAGGAGTGGTAGGGAGATCTGACCTTATAACCTTGTTACTGGGACCGTGTCTTTGTCCAATGTTAAAGTGAGAACCCCGGATTTGCAAGGGCTTCCCAACCCAAGAACCACTGTGGTGGAGACAGGGTGACAACAGCTGAGGGTTTTCACAAAGCCAGCTCCTTGCCTCATTGTCTTCTCTTCCTTGCAGGTATTGGGGTTTGGAATCCTGCCTTCGATGTCACCCCACATGACCTCATCACCGGTGGCATCATCACAGAGCTGGGTGTCTTTGCCCCTGAGGAGCTCCGAGCAGCCCTGAGCAGCAGCCTGTCAGGGGCAGGCACCTAGGTGGACCCTAGATAGAACCAAGCCAACCTCCCCACCCACCCCTGTCTCTCAGGTTTCATAGTAAACTTATTAAATGGCAAAGCCAAAAACTGACCTTCCTCCCCGAGCCATACTTCATCCTGAGCAGGAAGAGTGGACAAGGATCCTGCACGGCTCGTAAGGGCCCCGCAGGCCAGGCATGGTGGTATGTGCATCATCTCAACACTCAAGAGTTCAAGCAGGAGGATCTGTGAGTTTGGGGCCAGCCTGGGCAACACAGCAAGACCCTGTCTCAGATACACACATACATACCCCAAAGACCCAGCATCCATAACAGAGCTACCCAGGTTCAAATCTCAGCTCTGTTTCTTCCCTGTGTGATCTCAGCAAGTCACTTCACCTTTCTGTGCCTTTGTTTCCTCATGGATAAAATGGAGATAAAGCGAGATGTGGTGGCACACATTTGTAATCCCAACACTCAGGAGGCTGAGGCAGGAGGGTCACTGGTCAAAGCCAGCCTGGTCTACGTAGTGTACCCTGTCTGAAAAATAAAGACAATATTTTAATGCAGTGTTTTATTTGTTTCTTACTTCCTCTTCTCCATCATCGTGTATATATTTTTTAATGTTAAAATATCCTTTTTTTTTTTTTTGGTTTTTTTCCGGTACCGGGAACCGAACTCACTACCTTGAGCTTGCCAGGCAGGCGCTTTGCCGCTGAGCTAAATCCCCAGCCCCAATGTTAAAATATCTTTGACACCTGGAGAGTGTAGCTTATTGGTTGACCTCATGCCAACCATATATATATATGATTACCAGAGTTTCAGGCAGCTCTTTAAATTTTCCACCAACAGTGAGTTCTAAGCCCTTTGTATAAGGACCATAAGATAATAAATTTTATAAAACACATAAGCACCCTGTAAATACTAACGATATTCTCATTGACAGTTCTTGTAATTTCCTACCACGTTGGAGGGCTGCTGGCCCTTTAACTACCAAGCTGTGTCCCGCGCGTCTCCACGCCCCTCCTCCCCCGCTGTATCCCATCGTGCCCTTCGCCTTCCGGCCGCTCGTAACTCCGCCTCTTCCGGCGCGCGGCCCGTCATGGCGCAGGGTCAGCGCAAGTTCCAGGCGCAAAAGCCGGCTAAGAGCAAGGCCGCGGCGGCAGCCTCGGAACGGAACCGCGGGCCGAGAAAAGGCGGTGAGCAGCGGGCCGGGGAGTGAGCGGGGTGGAGCTGGCCCGGGCCTCCTCACGCTCATGTGAGTGCGTCCCTCCAGGTCGGGTGATCGCCCCCAAGAAGGCGCGCATCGTGCAGCAGCGGAAAATCAAGAAGGTGAGCGGGGCGCGGGACCGCGGGGCGGCGGCGGACAGCCGGGAGCGCCAGTCCTCCGAGCCTGTTTCCTCCTCCGTGCGGCGAGTACGGGAACCTTGAGCAGTGTTGGGAGCGCCGCAGCAAATCCCAGGTCCCGAGTGAGCAGGATTTCTCCCCGGCGAGACTTTCCGCGGGGATCCCTGGCGTTGGCGCCCGGTCCTGGCTCGTGGATGCCGGGCGCCTGCGGATGCCTGCTCGCGGCCGGGCGCCTGCGGGCGCTGCGGGCGGCGCGGGCCCCGTCGGCGTGCGCGGCCCGGATTACCGGTGTCGTGTTGGTGCTTATCTTGAAGTGTGTCCGTTATCTCCAAGTGGGTAGGGCCGAGCTTATGAAGAAGTTGGAAAGAGATTTAAATCTGAACTAGAATTGTTCTCCGCACTCATTAGTCCTGTGGCTCGGAGCAAAGCGTTTAGACTCCGAAGAGCGTTGCTTTTCTCAAAACTGGTTACCCAGGGGTCAGGAGACGTCTGTCTCGGGGAATGCCAAACGCAGCCTTCCCAAAACGAGCTCCTGATCCTCCGTGCCCTTCTCCCTGCCTGTCACCCGGTGGGTCTCCAGGACGACTCTGTCCTCGCAGATGCTAGGAATCACTTTGAGTCCGTTTTCTTTTTGCACTCTACTTGTCCTGCCTGCCACCTGCCTGAACCTATGTGGTCACCTCCCGGCCTGCACCCCTCCCCCTCCCACAGCAGCCAGGTGATGCCGTGAACACCACATATCACAACCTGGCCCTCCTGCCGACACCCCCTGCCTCCCACCACACTCAGGAAAACCCGGAAAAGCCCTGCACAACGTGCCCTGCCCCACTTCCACCTTTCCGCTGTCCACTCCCTCCAGCCGTATAAGTCCCCACATGATTCCTTGTTCCAGCCCGGCCTGGTGGCAGCCCCGCCCCTCGCTTATCTCCCGGATGTCTTTTCACCATGGCAACGCTTTTTCTATTGGAACCGTGGGATATCTGTGTCACTGGTGTCTTTCACTTGTAGGCACTGAGTGCCAGCTCCAAGTGGGCTGGGATTTTCCTGCATCTTGTTTGCTGTAGTGTTCACAGTGCCCGGACACATGGTTAGTGACGCCAGCCGTGGCAGTTGTGGTGATCAGAACTCATGGGCAGCGCAGTGTGAAGAAGGTGGTTCAGCTCCCAGCTACCAAACTGGCTCAGACCCACACTGGCAGCCCCCGTTCCCCAGAGAGCAGAGATGACACAGGCCAAGAAGGTTCTACCCACCTAGAGGCAGGGACACAATGAGCTCCTGTCCTATATCATCTGCATGGTTTGGGGACCCTGGTCAGTGCCTCCCCAATACAAGAGACTGTCTTCCCATCTGTCACATGGGCATAAGCAGAGGTAGAGAAGTGAGAAGGGTTTGTGGTGTGTTCAAAATGCAGGTCGAGGCTTCAGTCCCCGTCCTCGGGCCCCTCGTGAAGGCTGTGCGAGGGGACAGTTACTGCCCCTGCCCCTGTGAGCTCCAAGTTGTCGAAGGGCAGCTGGCAGGGCCCTCCCACCACTCCATCCCAGTCTGATGCACTGGGGTCGCCCCCATAGGACCTGGAGATCGGGATCCGGAAGAAGATCGAGCACGACGTGGTGATGAAAGCCAGCTCCAACCTGCCCAAGAAGCTGGCGCTGCTGAAGGCCCCGCTCAAGAAGAAGGGGACCACTGCCTCCCGCAAGACTTCTTCCTGAAGAGGTGAATTCACAGGCTGCCCCTTGGGCAAGGGACCCATCCGCCGCCACTGGTGGCACCTGGAGCCTGGGAGGAACTACAGGCTTAGCCGCTCAGGGTCCGAGGGGGAGGGAGTGTCAGCGTCCTCCCCTCCCCAGTCCTGTCTCCACTGGCTTAACCCAGACAATAAACGTGGCTTTGTCATCCCGTGTCATCATGTGGCTCTGTGAGCAGGCCAGTGGGGGCCAGGTGAACCCACCCGTCTACTAGAGCGCTGTCCCAAGCTGCTCCCTCTCACACTCTCTGCCTGGCCAGTCCTTGGGTGGGGACACAGCAGGGAGGACGCACACATCTCTAAGTGAGGCACCACCTTGAGGGTCTCCGTACCATTGTGCAGAGCACGCCGCCTGGCAGTGCCTCTGTAAAGCACTGCCTGCAGGTTGTCACCTCAGGATGCCTGGGGTAGGACCTGTTATTGACATTTGAGAGCCAGGACCTGAACCTGCTGCTGGCCATTCTTGGTCCTGCTGTCAGCTGACCTCCCGCTACCACTGAATCGCAGGCCACAACTCTGTCCCTTTCCCTTCTGGGGACACCAGCCCCTGAGTTGGTGCTAGGTCTGCTGGAGTGGATAGGGCCTGTGGTACTTTGAGGACTATACCCTGGTGACCTGCTTTTCTTCCTAGCTCTTTATCTGCAGGGTTTGGGTGCACCCGGAGGTAGGTGATTAGCACCCTGGTGGCCCCATATTCCCCGGGCACTTACCCACTCAGGAACAGGTGTTCAGCCTTCACCCACTGCCCCAAATCCCACGTTTGTTTGTTTGTTTGTTTTTGTGGTACCAGGGAACGAACCCAGGTTCTCATAGGTCACCAAGTTCCCTAGGCTGGGCTTAAATTGCACTCCTCCTGCCTCAGCCTTCCAGAGCATTAAGATTGCAGTAGTGCCCGCCCCAGAAGGCTTCTGCTAACTGATTTTTCAACATAGACAACACTTTGGCTGCTCCTCAGTAGGCTCGTCACAGATTACCTTGGGCCAGGCTGGGGTGCTGCTCAGTGGTGAGCACTCGCCCTACATGAGCCGGCCCCGGGCTCCATCCCCAGCACTCAGAACCCCAAAGAATCTCTGCATGCCAGGGTCTGGACTCGGCATTCCTCCCGCAAGGCTCGTGGCAAAGGCTTGGTCTGGGGCAGTGTGGCTGTAGACACTGGGGCCTGTAGCAGGCATGGCCTAGTGGGAGGCCTTAGGTCCTCAAGAGGCTGCTGGCTGGTGAGGGCAGCTCTGCTTGGGCAGGCGTCTCCCCGTTGCCTTAGCTAGAACCATGGCAGCATGAGCTGAGTAAAGCTCACTCTCTCAGTCCCATATCCTCTCACCATAGTAAAGCGGAGCTGACTGCCCTGAGACCCAGCAGTTCCACCGCAGGTTCAGATGAGGAAGAAAGGGGACACAGTGCTCCAGTTGCTTTGTTTTACAGTGCTGTGGTTTGAGCTCAGGAGCTTTTAGCACTGACCTACACCCTCACACATTTTATTTTGTCTTCAGTTGGAGACAGGGTCTCGCTAAGTTGCCCAAGCATGTCTCAAAGTGTGATCCTCCTGCCTCAGCCTTCCAAACAGCTGGGATTATAGATGTCTCCACTGCACTGGTTTGCACCAGTGCAGAGCAAGATTGTTCACAACCATTGAAAGGGGGTATAGCCTGCATTTCCATCAGCAGAGGGATAGAGGAACGAAATGTGCTCCATCTATACAGCAGAATATTATTCAACGTAAACATTCGCAGGCTGTACCATGGACAAACCTTGAAAAGATGATGAGTCCAAGTAGTGGGACGTGAGCACTGCATAGTGTGCGACTGTGTGTAATAAAGTATCCAGAGCACCTGGCAGCTGAAGGGAAGGGGGGTGCTGCTAACAGGGGTGATGAAAATATAGAACTAGACCCGTTGGTTGCACAGCCTCGTGCTGACCAATCTTGAATTGTACACAGGGGTGAAGTTTAAATTATGTGAATTTTACTAAAAGAGGAGAAATTTCACCCCAGAAGTCCTAACTTACCCAGAGAAATGGGGCACTGGTGGAGAGGCAGTGTAGTCTGGAGCTCCCTGCCCCTCAGGGGACTCGGGGGCTTTCAGAACAGGAGCCCCAGATGCTAGGCTGGGAGGTGGCAGCGCCTGCCCTTCCCACCAGGCCACACCCCTGAGGGCCCCCCAGGGGGCCTGGGCTCTCTGCCCCTGTCCCTCAGGCTGGGGTGTCACCTGCCCTGGAAGACAGACTTCTCTGCCCATTCAGCATCTATGTGTGGCCACGTGTGCCAGCCTCTGGTCTAGTGAGAGAAGACAGGGACATCACCAAGCCCATGTCCCCTAAAGGCCACCTCACTGCTTAGCCCCCCTGGCCTTTGCATCTGCAGTATCCCAGGGTTGCCCTTCGTGGATGTCATCTTCTAGGAGGAGGTCATCTTCCTGGAACAGGTCTCCCTGCCTCTGAAAGGGGTCTGTGTGACCCAGGTGTTTTATTCTAGTGCCTGGCAAGGGCCTTGATTCTTGGGGGAGGGGGTGCCTCATTTTGTTGCCCAGATTGGCCTCAAACTCCTGAGCTCAAGTAGTCCTCCTGCCTCAGCCTCCAGAGTAGCTGGGACACAGACTGGAGCTCCACACCTGACTGATCTTTTTTTTTTTTTTTTTTTTTTTTTTTTTTT